CAAAGGTGGGGGATCATGCTTATCGGCCTTTCTCACTCTCACGTCAAAGGTGGGGGATCATGCTTGTCGGCCTTTCTCACTCTCAGACAAGTCAACTTCTTCAGCCGCTGAAGTCGGAAGCAGCCGTCGCTGGATTGAGGCACTCTGCGAGGGACGAACGTCCATCAGGTCCCACTTTGTTGAACGTTTGAGAAGAGCTGAAATCTGCGGATGCAGCGAGCCAAGAATCAAAAATGTACAGCTACCTCAAGCAGCTTACCGCGATTCCTTAAGAGCCGCTCAATCCGAGTTCGGCTGTGCAAACGGTGCCCCTTACGGAATCTCTAAGATTTCGAGATATCTAAAGTTAGAGAACAATCTAGGACTCTGTTGTTGCATTGGATTCAGCATCGTGGAGTGCGTCGTTTCCATCTGGCAGTCTTTGTAACGCTGCTAAACGTGCTGAAGCAAACTAAATGCCTCGAGTAGATGCTTTCGAAACCCGCTTGATTCGCCTTTGGCAAATCCGAAGGTATCAGCTTCGCCCCCGTTTTCTTTCATTACAATCTGCGATGTGCTGCGCGCCTTCGCAACCTACACGACGCTGAAAATGAAAGCCTTCCTTTCCGTTCCAGGACTGGCTTGACTTTCATTTTGGCATTACCGGAGGCGTCTGCTTTATCGTCGAGTCGCTCGTTAAGATGCCCGGTGTGCTTGAAGAATATTGCAATGTTCAAAACTTCTCAGATTTGCATCCTGATTCCTGCAACCTCTGTTCTACAGGATTGGCTCGACATCGACTTTGGCATCGCGGAAAGCGTTGACTTCATCGCCTGTCTCGTTCGTCAAACGCCGGACGTGCTGACTGCCCTCGTCTTGCCAAATTTTCAGATCAACTGATAATAAAAGCCTTTTTTTCTCTCTCAGGACTGGCTCGACATCGACTTCGGCATCGCCGAAGGCGTTGACTTCAACGCCGTGTCGTTCGTCAAGACGCCCGACGTGCTGGAACACTGCAAGTTTTGGAGTACATTTTAAACCCGCAGTAGCAAAATGCATGTCTCTAGAAACGATCAACCCCTTCATTATTCTTATCTCCTCGTTCAGGATTGGCTTGACATCGACTTTGGAATTGCGGAAGGCGTCGATTTCATTGCCGTGTCGTTCGTCAAGACGCCCGACGTGCTCAAGCACCTGCGCAGCTACATCGAGTCCCGCGCGCGAGACCGCAAGATCAACGTCATCGCAAAGATCGAGTCGCGCGACTCGCTGAAAAACCTAGAGGACATCATTACGGTGTCCGATGGCGCCATGGTGGCGCGGGGGGACCTCGGGGCGCAAGTGCCCTTGGAACAGGTTAGGCAGTTGCTCGTTCATCTTTTGCCTTTTCTTTTAGTTTCTGCTCGTCCATATTGAGAATTACTCGTGTCTTCTTTGCTTCTTGTGCCGTGTACTTTCTTCCTCGTCGTCAGCAGCCCCCTCTTTTACGAGCTTCGTTCGTGTTACTGCTTGCGACGAACTTGATTCCGATGCTCGATGAAAACATGCGGTGTTAATCTCTTCCTTTGTGAAACGTGCCTGTTGACCGTACCAAACGAACACCCATCAGTGTCTTCAGTATCGAGGCTATACTGCAGCTCACATTGGAATTGTCCTGCTTACCGAGTTTTGACATCCTATAAAGCAGTCGTCAATGACCAACCGGATTACGGACTTCTCTCATCCAATTTTCGTATCACAGGCGTCCCCCCCCACAGCCCCCTTGCGATTCGCCCTCGGTTGTTGACACTCCTTTCGGTTTCTCCCCAGGTTCCCAGCATCCAGAAGGACGTGGTGCACCTCTGCCGGTCGCTCAACAAGCCCGTCATTGTGGCTAGCCAGCTCCTTGAGTCGATGATCGAGTACCCGACGCCCACCCGGGCTGAGGTGAGCCCCGCCGCCACTCTTTTCCGGATTCAAACTTTGCTATCGTGGCGTTTGTTTCCCGAGATTGGTCTACTTCAAAGACGAGAAGCGGGACTCATGCTGGCAGAAGGCGTGTGGTCATTTGTGACTTTTCGGGCTTCTGCTCAAGTCGAGGATCCTTGGAGACCCACTGAAGCTTTGCATTTCTTTGGTTGTGATACATTTGGAAGGAAGAGGTGCCTAGGGCGTGAGCCCGATGCATTGCTATGCGGCACACATTCGTCCAGGTTACCGACATGATTATGTTTCATGCTGCCGTTTGCAGCACTTACTTTTCTTTCAACCATGCGGCAGCCGCATGCAGTGTCCTCTAGCGACACATTCTTCGAAGCTTCTACAGAAGCCACATTGTTTTGGAGGACATCAGTCGCGGAACTCAGTTGCGGACCTCTCGGAGGCTGTCCGGCAGCACGGCTCGACACTCGCAGCTCACCGTTTCTCACCGTTTCCAGGGATGATCGACGCTGTCCTTAAAACAGGTCTCCTGAAAGGTAGTCGTCGTCGTTCAGGTGGTAGACATTTCGAAGGCCGTACGGCAGCATCGCTACACAGTTGCGCATTCATTGGTCCTTTTCTCTTCTTATGATCCAGATACATTAAACTCAACTGATCTACAAGCTTCGATTATTTTGTACACCAAGTTGCATTCCTCTGAAAAACTTGATCGGTTTGGAAATCAGAAGTACATTTTTTTGTCCAGGTTGCGGACATCTCGGAGGCCGTCCGGCAGCGCGCGGACGCCCTGATGCTGTCCGGGGAGTCCGCCGTCGGGCGCTACCCCGAGAAGGCCCTCGGCGTCCTGCGCACCGTGAGCCAGCGCATCGAGCGCTGGTGCCGCGAGGAAAAGCACCACGAAACCCTGCGCCTGCCGGAGCTATCGACGATTCTGAACGAGAGGATCAGCGAGCAGATCTGCAACAGCGCAGCACAGATGGCGAACCGGCTGGAGGCGGACGCGATCTTTGTGTACACGCGACGCGGCAAGATGGCGAGCCTCCTGAGCCGGAACCGGCCCGACTGCCCGATCTTTGCTTTCACGGACAACCCGTCGATCCGGCAGGTAGGCGACGGTTGGATCGCATCGACCAGTCTGGCTTCACACGTTCTTTTCATCCTAGTCAATAGTTGAGTTCAAGGCTTCTGTTACGTTTTTATCTCACAATGACAATTCTCTCTTTCAGTGGAGGACCCGTCGATCCGGCAGGTAGCGAGGGGGGAGTTACCAATCAAATTTGCGCTGGATTTTGTCACAAAAGGATTGTGTGCGACTAAAGAACTTCTTTTCCCGTTGACGGAATTGAAAAGCGCGTGCTTTTGTCATTGACGGTGCCGCTTGCGACGAACAACTCGTGAACTGACGGGTATGCAGGGCAGCTTGTCCTGTATTGTCTGCCTTTTGGTCTTTGGGGTGTCCTTCTGAAAATTTTTGCGTTTGATGATGCTTAACTCTGATAAAACGGCCGTGTATATATGTTGTGAATTACTCCCATTCGACTTGCCATACGTCTTTTCTCTGGAACCGAACGTCTGTGAGCTTTGTCTTATTCCTCTCTTTCCTGTCTCGTATTCATCTGCTTCGTGATCGAAAGGATCGAAGTTGCAAGCATCCCTCCCTGTATCTGCATCTCCCGCGTCGAAAGATGACTTGCGACTACAATGCTCTACCCTCCTCTTCTTACCCTCTTGGCCTTTTAACGTTGCTTGCTCTGCCTTTTTGATCATCTCCTTTGCCCCCTCTTGTCCTTGTTGAGAAACCCCAACAGTCTGAAAGGTCTGATAATCCCCCTGTTTGTCCCGCAGCGCCTGAACCTGTACTGGGGCCTCATTCCGTTCCGTCTCTCCTTCTCCGAGGATATGGAGATCAACCTGCAGCGCACATTCGCGCTGCTCCTCAAGCGCGGCATGATGAAGTCCGGGGAGGTGGTTATCGTGGTGTCCGACATAACCCAGGTTAACGAGGCCGACCTGCGGCAGTCTATCCAGATCAGGAAGCTCCCTTCCCTGGAGTCGCTCAGTTAGTTGCTCGGTTAAAGCTGGGTTGAGGTTGGGAGGTGGGTCAGTGAATGCGGGCTTCGATCAAAGCCGGGCTCGATTGCTTCCAAGGGGCGTCAAGCCTGGGGTAGTGAGGGGGGGGGGGTCCAGGAATGGGTCTCCTTGACACCAATTGCTTTAGCCAAAGCAACTACTTCGAAAAAAGCTTAACCCAAAGCTAGATTGGTATGTGGGTCAACGTGAGCTTCCTGTGAGGTGATTGATACGGACAGGATAGGGGCGTCGCCTGCTGCTTCAGTTCTTGGGCTGCTTTGATGTGGGGCAAAGTGATGGTGGCTCCGCTGAACCTTTCGGGATGCATTACAGGCCTAAGGCCATTTGGAGGGCCCTTTGTGTATACAGTGGAAATATTAGATTCCTTGGAAGAAAGAGGGGGATGGATCATAGGCGAGTGATAAATTGCGCAAGGCCGGGTAATATCACCCCACAAGCGAGCTAGTGAGTGGAATCCACGTCGTCGGAGAAGCAGCCGTTTCTTCCTTTTTCAAGCATCGTGCTAGCTAGTTCATTGAGGCCTTGCGGCAGCTCCAAGCTGTCCCTGACGATCTGAGTTGCAAAGTAAGCATTAGATTGTGAATCAGCCATGAAATCTGTCCACTTGTCAATTGATTGAACGTGTACCACCTCCGGGTTGGAGGCTTGAGTGCGCTGACTCGTGAAGCTTCTCATTTGAACAGCAGAAGCGTTTAAGCTTGTAGGCCCATGCAATTGTGTGCATGACATGAAATGTGCCCAATGATGCCTTATTGAGCACCGTCAGCGGCCAGCTACTAGGTCAGTTCGAGTTGAAAGCACGGTACTGTCAATATACGAGTCAGCTCTGGTAAACGATGGTTGCACGAGTCACTGGTGGTTCAATACTGTATATGACAGTCGGTTGTACTCGATTTAGTTCTATCGTAGTCGCACATGTTCGAGCTCGCTGCACATGCGCCATCCAAACATGACTCATGTCTGATGCCCATGCGAGTGCGGCGCAATTTATATTATTAGTATACAGCCGTCAACTGACGCTCATAGAGTTAAGCCCGTGCAATATGTTGCGCAAACCTTGACCAATGATCAATCATTTGCGCATGCTCATGCATGGTGTCTAGCTAGCTAGCTAGGTACGTATATGTATACAGATCATGGTGCTCGAGCATATGTGACTCTGCATGGCTGCATGCGCTTTGCTTTTCTTAGAAACCTATATGCGGCGGACCGCTTCGCTGATGAACGTACATACCGCCTCAGTTGCACATACCACCGGCCATGGCATACCCTTGTAGGCTTAAGGCGGGTCCGAGGTACATAACTCCGACCATCTAGCCTGGTAGCTGCGTTCCACCCGACACATGGCCCGCCAAGCAATACATGATTGTGACAGTGCTGCACATGGAACGTCCTCGTGTGCTGCGTTGCTTTCGTTTCTGAGTAGTCAACCGTGGCAGTATGTTGGCGGAGAACACAATGTGCAAAATGCTCTTGCATTTCTCTTCGTTCCAACATAAAGGTTGTATGCGGCCAACAACGTCATGGCCTTTCAGGCTGGTTTATGTTGCAACGACCTTTCTAACCTCGCAATGGCTTCCGTGACTTTATCCGTGTCATCTTCGTATTCACTTGGCGGCCGAACCCTTTGACTCTGCTCGGCCTCAAAAATGCTAGATCTGTCGATCATCCCTCGTAACAAACCTGCGAAGTGATAGAGCTGAACGTCTTGCAACGAGTCTGCTGAAAATTTGAGGAATACCCGTGTGAACATGGGTTTGCAAGAACCATTGCCAGAAGCACTAGCGGTTGAAGGGGAACTTATTATTCCCGCACTTCCAAGCTTCAAAACGAGAGGCTGAAACGTAGAAACCCTGAAGAAAAGCTACGATACAACTATGAAAAATAATCGCAATCACACAGGAAAGCAGGTTTGACTGAGGGCGCGTTTGCCGGCAATTCAAAGCGAAAAAGGAATAAACGACGAAGTTGGAATTCAAAATACAGGTCACTCACCTAAAGGAAGACATAGAGCAGCGCCAACGGCAGACGAAGCGGCAGCCGCTCGCAAACGTAAAGGAAGGGTCACCCCCGGACCCGGCACTGCATAAGGATGACAGACAATTATGCAGCAACTTCACTTCGGGTGGACGAATCGTCAACTCCGTGGTTTTTGTCTGGGAACATGAGGTTTTGGCCCACAATACCCCGAATTTGGTGTTTACCAGCAACAGAGTAATGTTATTTCTAAACCGCCCGACCGTCGCAACCATAACGGGGTGGACTGAAATCCGGGATTTCATTTCATCTGGCCTAAGAGAGCGACTGCTACTGTGCGTGCTTCGGTGTGAATCGCCCCACGACCGTAATGGAGCTCTTCAAGCAACCTCAGGGCTTTGGACACGGCGGCTTGCAAACTTGCACGCACGCTCGTCGACAAAAGTGTCCTATCCTAAAGCGAAGCCCGGATCTTGCACCGCTCTCGTTCGAACTCAATGTCCCCAAAACGACAAAGCTTTCAAATCAGCCGGAACGACTGTCTCCAGAAGGCTTTCTAACATTCATCTCCAAGATATTGTACCCGTTTATCCCCAACCAACCTTTCAATACCATCGCGGGTAAAGGCGGAGCATATCAGCGGCACTGAAGTCTCACCTGTGCCTTTCAGATCGCATGCTAGCCAGAACTCTCTCCAACCGTTAAAATAGCAGGCCAGATCGACGACAGATCTGTGAAACTTACGTGCCAGACCCGCTGCTCCGCAAGCGATCGCCCCCGCAGCCATGCTGTCCCAAACGTCCGACTTTTCTCGATACGCAATCATGCCTTGCTGGATCCCGGAATACAGCGCCACGAAGCCCCCAACCTGGGAACGTGCCGATGACAATTGTCAGGTACTAGCACGTAAGAGGCATGGCAATCGTGTGTGTGCCAGCTGTCTTCTTGCTGTGCTCTTAGTAATCCACGGTGCCTTTGACAAGGACAAACAATAAAAGTCAAGAATTTGTTTAATATTTGAAAGAGTAGGTTGCAGCGTCCAATAAATACTACTTGTATAGCACACTAACCTGAAGCACCACTTTCCTTAGAATGTCAAAAGTAGCTCCTTGATTTGCACCACCGCTCCGAAAAGTTCTCGAGGCCAACTATATTCTGCCCTTCTACCAGGTAGTCATTCCGTTGAGCGCTCATGTTGAAAACCGTCCTGTCATCAACGACTACATACGGTGTGCAACGAGACGACGTCACAGCTTTGATTACTTGCAAGTCACGACTGCTTTCAGCGGCTGACAGAGTGGGGCTAAAGATAATCAGTACCTTTCAAAACGAGGCTGGCCAGGGACGGTTGACCTGGCAAGGTTGAATGCGAAACCCTGGTCTTGGTTGCCTTCGACCATTTACATGTTGCAAAGGCCCCAGAACACGCCCAAACCCGCCACGTCGTCATGCCCAACCTGGTCCCCAATTCCGGTCCCAAGAATACTAATTTTCCTTGACCACCCTTACACCAAGTTACTCAGCCCCAAATCCTGACCAACCGTCAAAACAGTACGAAGTTTGCCAACTTCGCAAGCAATACATAACATACCCGCACTCCCGAGCGCAATGCCCCTCTCGTGATCTTCAGAAACCTCCGCTCCATCAGGTGGCGCTTGTAGTTCGGGACTCGCTTCTCGGCGGCCCGGATGCCGTCCTGATTGCCAAACTCGTAGCCGGTTGTGCTGGCGTGCGCCCCGCTGTCGGCTCGGGGCGGCGGCACAAAATGACTCTCCTGAGAGAGAAAAGGTATAGAAACTTGAGTAAATTTCGCCTGTTTTAGGGTAAGCACCTGAGGGACGGGTGAGGTTAGTCTGGGGGTTAGGGTGGGTGCGAGTGGGGAGCGCGTATTATTTCGGTTAGGGATTTTAGTTGAGGTGCCCGGGGCTTTTGTATCTTGCAAAAATCTCTAGTAGATATCAATCTAGAGTTACCAGTATCGTACAGAAAGCGTTCGGCTCTTTCCATCTCTGCAGTGACTCTTGTGTTCTGGATGGCTCTCACACGTCCTGAGGTCTGACTCATACTTACAGGCATCGACGTTATGATCAAGACTGACAAAAGAGTGTGTGACCAATGTCAGTTTCCTGACAAGGGTCTCTCAGTACTGGGATTCATTCTGGAAAGCCCAGCACACCAGCAATCAGAGCGGCAGGACTGTCTCAATACAACTGCAAGTGTCACGACACAACGCTTCTATCAGTGCAAACGTTTTCCATGAACAGGGCGGGTGGATGCGGCTACTTTATCACCTTCCGCCAGCTCTTTCACAAAGAGGGAACCTTGAAAGTCAACAGCTCACTTCCCAGACCCCGCGCTGGGGACCGAGAATAAGTAAGTCCTCCTTTTGATGTACCAAGATGTGAAGACGTGAAAGGTAAAACTCCTGACACAGCCGCACCAAGATTTTAAGGAATGGAAGGTAACTCTGCTGAAATTGATGGCTCTAGGACCATCATAGGGAGACAGCCAGAGAATGAAAAGGAGCGCACCTTTGGGGCCAACGCCTCACGCACACCACCAAACACGGCCCCTGCGAGCACCCCCGCTGTGCTGGTTGCGGCCCATTCCTGGACCTCCGGAGGCGGAGGGGGCACCTATGCACACAGGAAGGATGCAGTTTGCAAAAAATGAGGTTGAAACTTGGTTAGTAGCCCCCTGACCAGGCCTCTAATTTGGTTAAGAGGCATGGGTTATGTTGTTGATTTGCGGACCTTTCCTGTGCTGCAAACATACCGGGCCATTACGAGAAACTTGGAAACTCAACGGAGTTTCCACTCTTTCCTTATGAGCAGAGCACCAGGTGTGATGTGAACAGGAGTGACTGTCCGAGACGAGCCTTGATGATTTCTGGGTCAACGGAAGCTAGAAGAAACAGATGCATGAGTACAACTTGAACTGCTGAAACCGCTGATTGGATTAGATCGTATCGAGCAATTGAAAAGGATTTAGGAAATGACAGATTCAGCTTACCTCCTCTCCAGGTTCAATACGGCGGAACAGCTCTTTCATGGTCAGTTTATGGCTTGCCTCCAAGAAAAGTTGCCTGCAAAAGCGAAGAGCGATTGAAAGTGGTGGGGCACGAAACAAACTCGATGGCAGCAGAGGGTAAGCTGCTTGACGTCTTCTTTGAATACCTCAAGGGGAGAACAATCTTAGACCCTGAGAACCAAGAAACTGTATCGATTTCAAAGCTAGAGTTGGGCATGCGACGGAAAGGGTGATTGTTTTGATGATGACAACGGAAGTCAACGAGGAGTCTGAGAGTCACTTGGTAAACTTGTTACCCACAGCTTGCCCTGCCACAGTTCTCCAATCAATCACTTTCATGTAACGCTGAGACTGCTAAGATTGTGCAGAAGATGCAGGCGCAACATTGCAGGACTTGCCATTGCTCGCCAGCAGATTCCACTAACATCAAACAACCACTGCACAGAGATGATCTTTGCTACATCGCATCCATCTTGCAAACTTTATTTGACTGCCAGAAATTCTTACCAATCAGGTTGTTCTGAAACAACTTTCTCTGAGGTGTTTTTCACCAAACGCGCAGAGTCGAAGTGCTTATTCTTCTCCGTGTGATGTCAGCAGCCTCTCTCGCAGATATAAACCAAATTGGCAGACGTCTGCTGCAGCCTTCCACAGTGCGATCTGTGCGCCAGCTCGACCTCGTCTTTGCTTGCTCAGTTGCTGATCAATTCTGATCCAGCAAGCGCAGCTGACATTCATTTTAACTTGAATGTTTGAGCAGCAAACAAATATAGGAGGTCGGCAATTGGTCCGCCGCTTATGCATTCTTCGTTAGCAGCTTATCTGCAATCCTTGTCAAACTCGAGATAGAATCCGGCTCTTGCCTGTTTCAAACAGCTCTAGCCTCAACATGGATTCTCCTGATTCTCAAATAAGTTGGGAGACAATTTTCACAAATTTTAAGCGCGTATGTTTTTTGTAGCGCATATAGGCCAGGGCCGCGGTACTGCTTGAAGGAGAGTCAAGACTCAAGAGCAGAGGTCACGAGTGCAAAACCAGATGATGATCTTGTCATTGATGCACAAGATCACTGACACAGGGCTGCCTGCTGCCACTGCCAGTGCAGGTTCTTCAAGTTCTTGCACAGTACCACAGTCATCTTGACAGGAGAGCCTGCTCATGAGCTCCATTCCACTTGATCAATCTGGACTGATAGTTGTATCTTTGCGCAGTGGTGGTACAAACGATCAGGGCGGCCGCCGCTGCAGCTAAGTTTTCTGCTCACAAGTTGAGATTCGAATGCAATCCAGAGGACAGTCGCCATCACACATAGGTCAGAGACGGACCATATTTGCAAGGTCGCTGGTACTTACCCTAGGTCTTGCACACTATCCTTCATAAAATACTTGTAGTGCGATGGTATTCCTTTTGCTGCAAATAAAGGCGGACTTGGAAAACTTGACGAACTTGCAGCAAGAGGATCCGTCAACGTTTGTCTACTATTTCAAGGTGAGTGTCTTTGCAGCAAAACTTGGACAGGTATTACTCTCTTTCTTAGTCTCGCACCACATTGGGGAGCAGGCCAAGCAAATGCCATGGCCTACTTAATGATATTTGGAGCAGCTTCACGTAAGGCAGGCCATTGCTTTGGCAGCTTGATGCTCAAAGAGTCAACTACTAGTTACTTGAGACCCTTCAAGTCTTGAGCCAAACCAAGGCAAGCTTAAAGCATTTGTCCAGATTGGTCCAGCCTACTTTTTATGTCCTGATCTGAAGATGGCACCCGCAAAGTTGCTGGCGCTCTGGCTGCTTGGCCCTCGCTTGGCAGCTTCTAAGGGGTTTGTCATGGAACTTCATGTTATAGGACCTCTGGCAAAGCTCCCTCGAAGCGTGTGACCTTACTTTGCGAGATTTTCCTTCCAGAATTGCTATCCTGCAACTTTGGAGTCAAATAATCGATAAATAAAGCAAGTAGTAAGGAGACCTGGCTAGACTTACCACCAAGGTCAATCTCGAGTCTGTCACTCTCAATGTCAGTGATCAATCTCTTGACCTATCAAATGTAAGGGATGCTTTTTCAGTAAGATCAGCACCAGATGACTTCGCTAGTAATCACTTCTGATCCTTTCAGGTCAAGTGTACGAGCTGCAATGAGCCCAGCGATAAGGAGTCTGGCTTGACGGCAGGCGAGCAGTATGACATTCCGGGTAGTCGAGGAACCGCGCATCTTGTTCAAAAGTGCAAGTTCTGCGGACGGACAGGCACAATCACTCTTGTGGAAGGGAAGGGCCGGCCACTCACAGCAGAAGACAGCGAGTCACAAAAAGAGGCACCGGTAGCATGCTTTGATTGCCGAGGGATGGAACCGATCGAATTCTTCCCGCGGGAGGGGTGGGTGGCTGAGGGAGTCGAGTCTGGTAAGAAGTTCGAGGTTGATCTGACGGAGCTCGAGCATGTAGACTACGACGAAAAGGCGAAAGAGAGCGTTGGGGTGTACAATGTGGAACACAGTTTCAAAGTAACAAAGGGGTAAGAGCTAACTGTAGACATAGAAACTGTAACCAAAGGTACTGCAGCTTGCCAAGGTCCTAGAGGGGCGGCCACGATAAGGAGTGCACTGATACCAAAAAATCTATAGACTGAGCTCAATGATCAAGGCCGATTGCTTTGATTGAAGTGGAGTTGCATTTTATGCAACTGCTATCGAGTAGTTCCTAATTTCATGTATTCCCCCACGGTCATGATGACTACCATGATACTGTACTAGGCTAACTTACTTTGCAATGGAGAATTGAGGTTTTCTGGCCATGTCAAGATTACGAGTGGTGGACTTCGCAACCCAACACATCGTACGTCATCTAGTCAACCTTGTGTGTCTTCTTATGATTGTAGATTGCTCGCTCAATCCAGAGCAAAACCTCATGATTATTCAACGGCATGATCGCTCCATCTCATGTGCGGGATATATAGGTTTCGACTCTAGCCGGCGCAGCGGTCCACGCTGAGGCTTCCATGCACATGGTGATGTTGCATGTGCAGTGCACTCTAGCTCAAGTTCTACGATGATCGGTGCACATAAGACCCGGCCGGACCAGAAGACTTGAACTAACTGGTGATTGGTTCGTGCTTTATAATAGGCGGTTGTCTCGTTTACGGACAGTTGAATTCGTCCCGTACATGCCGCCCTTGCCATGCATGTCCGGATTGCAGCAAGTCGTTTAGATTATATCCAGGTCCAATGGTCGTTGAACCTACAACTATATCGACATGATAGCCAACGAAAGTCACTGGCCCGGACGCAGTTGTGGCGTGCCGCCCTGGCGCATGACGTTTAGTGTGAGAATCGTATCAGAAAGAAACTAACTTCTTTCCGCATGAAAACTTAATTTCGAATAATTATGACCAGCGCCGCTTGTCCTCATCAGAGTCCACAGGATGATACCAGTCCGGCGGTTTCACATGCGGGCTCAGCCGATAGTTCAACAGCACTTCCTCATCTTTTATCTCTTTTGACGCTATAAGCACAAGCGTCCGCACAACGTCCGGCCGCCGCACACGTTCCCCCGGTCGGTCCAGATTCTGGTCGTCATCGTCCCTCGTCTCCCAGATCGACCGATAGCCTATCGGCGTATCCGCCCTCTTCTGGGGCCCCTTGTCGGGGCAAAGCGTATTGGGGACATACGGCCGCAACTCGTCCATACCCGGGCCGCTTACGTGGAAGTCGTATGGGCAGACAACGACGTTTGGCGCCACGCCCTCCTCTGGGTGGTTGGCAAAGTGAGCGAGCGCCAGGGGGTGTCTCGTCTCTAGCAAAGTGCCCTGAGAAGATCTCTTTGATCCGGTGCGGCCCTCTCCGACGGCAACCAGCCTCCACCAACCCAAGCCCCCGCTCGCGCCTCCTTTTACAACTTGGTCTCTCGTTCCGGCTTCCGGATCTAGCCCATTTTCGTTGGAATGCGCAGTCGTGCTTTCGACTGGCAGCTTCTCGACCAATTCTTCCCGGTCACTCACACTCATGCCTCCACTTCTCTGTCCACTCCCCTCTGTCGACACGCCGGTCTCCCCCGATTGACCTTCCACGTTTGTCCGCTCAAAGCGCACCGCTGTCCCCCCCGAAACCTCTGATTCAGCATCGCGCCCCGAAGTCCCCGCACCCTCCTCCACACAGATCTCCTCAAGACTCGGCACCCCATCCCAGTGAAACCTCCGGTCCCCTCCCGCGCCCCACGGTTTCGCGTCGATCACGACGCCGTCAAACCGGGCAATGAAGTACGGGTTATCCCGGCCGATCCTGGAGATAAAGTAGTATTGCCTTGATGTTGGTGATGATAAATAGGGTTACGGCACGTTGGGTAAGGTCAGTGCCCGGGGGACAATTAGTAATTAGCTTGGGGGTTAGGGTGGGTACGGATGCGGAGCACGTAACTTTAGATTCGGGCCCCGAGGAACGAATGTACCTCGATCAAGGCCTAAGTCGAGGCAAAGTCGAGTCAGCTTTGGGTTACGACTTTGGCTTTTTTGCGTCCAGGAGCACGTCTATCTCGACATAGGCCTAGATGAACGCAAGCTCGGAGCTTCTGGAGGTTACCTGGGGTAACCGGGAATTTGGCGATACTGGGAGGGATCGTAGATTACGCCCGGGTAGAGGCCGACCACGGACCCTGGAGTAGCGACACCGGACAGAAAGAGGCCCGTCCCAGCGTCCGCGTGCTTGACCTGCAAGCCCAAACAAACGATTAATCGTAGCTTCGTAGGAAGGAATTCCAAGGTTGTCAGCAAACTTAAGAATATGGAGGCTTTAGAAGATGTTGTAGATGCCGCCCGGGTAAAGGGCGACCAAAGACTTTGAGATGGCGACGACGGAGAAGAAGAGGCCCGTCCCTTCGTCCGCATGCTTGACCTGCGTGTCCGAAAAACGGTTAATCGTAACCATTTGTGGCGATTCCAGGGTTGTCTGGGGTAAACAAGAACCGGCGGGATCAGAGAATTCGTAGATGACGCCCGGGTAAAGGAAGACAACGGACCCCGGGAGTGCCGGGCAAGGAGAGGCCCAATCAGGGTCCGCGTGCTTGAGCATCTGCACAAAGGGCTGCTATTCTGGGTATGAGGTTTTAGGGAGTGTGGTTCTACGAGGAAGAACTTGCAATGGGGCCTTATTCAGTAACATTGTAAAAGACATCGATCTCAGAAGGGTTTGAGCGTTTGATCTAAGAACAGAGGCGCGCTTCGACTCAGAAACACTGTTGACCGCTGTTGAGAACTCAGTTGCGAACACAAAAAGGCGTGCTTTAAACGAGACAGCCTTTCAAAGAAACTGAACCCTCAAACGACGTCCGTCTATTCCAATTTGCTCCGCACGACCTGCAACAACGTGGCCAACCCTCCCTTGTACGAACGAAAAACCGTAATCAACCAATCGACGGTTGCACGAAATGCCACTAGAGTAAAGAGACTTTGAAAGTTCGATCCTAAACTAGATAGTCGGGAAACGGCTCCCACCTTCGACGGCGCAAGCCGGAGCGTGTACCCCAGCGCTGCGCGCAGCTTTTCGGACAGTTCTTCTCTCGAAATTGTTCGGACGTCCGTTTTCAGATCGCTGCCGGGCTGGTGCGACGCGCCCCCTCCGACAGCCATTCCGAGGCCGCTCTGCCGTTTTGTGCGCGAGAGCCGCTCGCGCACCTCGATCTGGGCCTGTTCCCACCCGGGAGTCAAGGCACTGTGGAGCAGTCGGGAGATGGCGACGATCTGGCGATGTACATTCTCCTGCAAAGGTGACTAGGGGATCGAGCGAGGAAAATAGGGGAGGAATTGAGACGGAAGGTTTGTTCGGGCTTCGGTGTTCGAGAACAACCTTGTGCACAGGTGGGTTCGAAATCTGGGAAAAGGAATGGGTAGGAGTTGAAGCGAAGAGATTGTTCGGGCTTCGTAAGGTGACAGAACTCAAGCGGAGATTGAAGAAGAGGTGGGAGCTTGAGGAAAGGACCGACACCGTGAACTATCTTGTGGGTCAACCTGGAGCCTGCCAAGATGGGTTAGGGTGCACCGTGATTCAAAAGAGCGGTACAAAATGGTGAGAGCAGGAAAAGGGACCGCCGGTGGGAAGAGTACGTGTCAAATCGTACACACGAGCGTCCCAAACCCAGCAATTGTCCAAAGCTTTGGACACAGGTTTCTGCTTGGGCGGTTACGAGCTGTATTATAAGCGAGGAGCTGGAAAAGCCGTGACTGGAAAGTCGTCGACAACTGCCGAGGTCCTGTACAGTTGTAGCGCTCAAACCGTCAGATTGATGCATTGAGTTTCCATAATGGGGTGCCGAGATGGATCAGTCTCTCATTCAGTGCAGCGGTTCGTCTAAATTGGCAGCGGTTCGATCTGGGAAGACAGCCGTTCAACTTGGAAAAGCACCTGGTAAGTGCGACTTTCCTCACTTTTTTGCTCAGGTTTGTCTGCAACTCTCCTCGGCTATAGCAATAATCGTTAATAATCGTTAATACTCGTTAAACAATATATCAATGTTCAAAGAAAGCGGGACGCACGGACCTGTACTTGCTTCTTTTGCTCCTCAAAAGACGTCTCATCGGCCTCCTTTTGGATGACGTCAGTTGCTAGAGCGGTGCCTTGCTGCTCACATGCCTTGTACCTGCGGAGTACGGAGCCCCAGCATAAGATAGTTCAAAGACTTGCAAAAAAGCAGAATCGTATTGTTGCAGTTTTCTTTGTTCAATGAGAAGGTACAATGCGCTGTGCAGCTCTTGCTTAAACTCCAGCTGATCCCAGAGTGAAATAGGATCTACATGGGTTTATATGTGACAACTTCGGAATTCTGTGAACCTTAGGTTATCAGTTCGGACCAAGAACAGATTCTACGTGGATGCATGTGTGACACAACTGAAAAATGAAGTGGCCACGCTAGAAGGAGAGGGGACACAGAGAAAAAGGGGATTCCAAAAGTATGGCCATCCCTTTCCCCAAAAGTCGAAGTCTGATTTCATGTAAGAGCTAAATGGATGGCGGCACTAGCTTACTTTGATTCAGGCACGATGAAATGTCCCTAATGTTTTCCGGAAGCTCAGCACAAGGAGGACCGTACAAGTCGAAAGGAGCATGCAATTAATGCAACAAAGGAGGGTTTGGCAATCTTGAGATTAAATTCCCCTCTTCACCCCTCTGCAAAGGATCACATCGCAATGAAATTGGCTACGGTGCCAAGGGCAATTTGGTGAATGGACTTACCTTGTGAGCAAGAACAGCCTGTGCGTGTCAATCTCCTGCTGAAGTCGCCGCTTATTCAACTTTTGAAAGAACGAGGATGGGGAGAACGCATCGAGCAACTGCACAGGACAACATTTGGTGTGATATCAATCTGAGCTGGTCGAGACTCAGACAAGTGAAGGTTGCATAATTTGAAGTGGAGGTATCGTCGGTCGCCAGTTGTTCTAAGGTGGGATTCTACCATAGCCCGACAGAGCAGATAGTTGGACTCTTCTTTGCTCAAGCCCCATCTCCTGATTGCAGGCGGTCTATTTGCCAGAGAAGCACAGAGCTGTGCAACTAGTTGGCAATATCAGCCCTGAAGGTGGCGGCTAGTTCAGAGCGGGTACAACCCAGCTGGCGCCATTAAAATCTCTTCCATGCAGTCCTACTACATGCAACTGAATCACTTCCAAGCACTGGTCTGGCCCTGTCAAGCGATTTGTTGTCAGTAATTGTCTGATGAGAAGGTGGTGCAGCGTCTGCCTGATGCCTGCAACCGGCGCCAGCATTCTCCACGCCTGGAACTGACCTTCTTGAACATCTTGCTCACTGCCGCCAAGCAGGGGCCCCCGCCACAGCGAGTGGACTGATTGCAGCAAAATGCACTGTCAAAATGCCAAGCTTCAGCAGTTGCATGGATTTGCTAGCTAGGTACTTGTACCAAGGAAGACGGCCCCAATGCTGCCAGGAAACCGATGCGCCTCCCCTTCTTGAACCAGTATTGCTAATTGGAAGTAAGGTGCCAGCGTTCAGGAGTTCTGCTAGCATTTCACCATGGTCAGAAGTAAACCTGGAGCTTACCATGTCTCAGGAGGTCGGCAATTCTCACGTCTCTCGGCTGCTACGGTTTCTATGACTATTCGACTGTCTGCCTCTATGACTGTAACCATTACCAGGCACTTCGACGCTCAATTGTAACCTGGGTGAACCTGGGCAGCTTTCCTAAACCAAAAATGGCACTTGAACCATGTTGGGTGGCCAGCCAGAACTTTTTCATGGCAGAAATCCATTCAAAGCAGCGCAACCGAGGTGTGTTGGGCGCTGTGATCAGCAGAGCCTGTGACCTTTGGACCCTGGATCTAAGGTATTGTGCCTGTTTCTTGCTGGCTAGTTGCTGTCAAAGGCGTGTCACCTCTTCTAAGAACCAGGCAACTCAATGGCGGCGAGTGGTAACTCAAAAGGCGATGAGCAGACAGAGCCAGAAGTGAGGAGCGACTCGCGTGCAGAAGCTCAGAATGCCAAAGGCAAGTTATGGCAGTAAACTCTGGAGAGTGACCTTTCCAATAAAAAATGTCAGAGAATGTGTCGCACCGACTTGTTCCGCTATGCCTGCCAAGTCATCTGTTTGGCAGCACCTACCAGAAGCAGCATTGGCTTTCACGGATGTCCTTGGAGAGTATGATGGGTGTGTGACAGCACAGTCAAAAAGGTTTGCTCCCGAGAAAAAGAAATTCTGACTGGCCGTAACAATGTCTGTGAATTGCCCATGTCTTTACTGATGCGGGCCACCTGTAACCTTGAACGCCGTGTCACCTTCTTGTTGCACGATATTCCTTGATCCGAGTCTGCTTACGACATGTGGAAGGGCGTCCAACCAAGCACAGAGTTTTGAGGGAACGTATTGATGTTCACAGTGAAGCGTTATGAGTGAATACAATGATCAGAGCTTCAGTATCCACGGCATGCGCCCCGCCTGAGTGCCATTCCAGTTCCTGTCTGGTCAGTCAAGTGCTACTCTCTGCTCTCGCTTTTCCGGCACCTCCTGCTACAATTCAGCAACCCCTTGGAGGGCGCAGTTGTATCATCCATGGTCTTGTTGCAACATCTCTAAGAAGTGCTATTTTGTTTGACATTTTATCAATCCTCAATCCCCTAAAGCTGGCCAAGTGTTCCAAGCCCCGACTCCCGGAACTGACAAGTTTGCTGTCATATTTCCAGGTCCGCCTTCGCCAGAAGAGCAAGTCGACCTCAAGGACACGGTGGTCCCCTTCACATCGCCACGGCAACCTCCCCGAGAACCCGCAACGATAACCACGCAAGGGAAGGACCCACATGTCTTGGGCCCCCAGGTTCTGGCGTTTGCAGACCAGGCCAGCTGGGAAGAGGGGCTAGGGGCTTGCGAACGGGTGAGTTTCGTTTTGAAAGCTGATAGGTTGAGTTACTTAGCTGATTGTTGTAGGATAACATTCAGGGCGGTGATCAGACCTGCAATGTTTGGTTGTGGACAAAGCGCAAAGATACATACGAGTGCGCCGGGTATTTATGACCAACAACGTTGACTTGAAAATGACCATTCTTAGCCGTGGGGTGAGTACCAGCTTTACTGCGTCAAGGCGTAAAACCCCCAGTCCTCAACCTTGTAAAACTTCGGTTCTCAGGAAACATCATCACCCGACAGCTATATTGAAAGGCCATTTTTCTGGTTGAACAGGTTGCGACTGGTCAGTGCGAGAAAGGTGCGCGCATGGGCTGCTCCGTTACAGCTGCCCGGAAATGCCAGCCGAACTGGTTCCAGCGATTGCCTATGTTCAAGAAGAAAAGGTGAGGCTTTCCGATTCCAACTCTGTTGGTTCATTCTTCAAAGGCTCCCAACTGTGCATGGTGGGGTGAATCTGAAAATGACGAAGTAGAAAGAATTTGACCCCGACTGACTTCGTGGATCAGAAGCTTGTTGGTTTGCTCAAGAGAGCGCTGAAGAGAGCGATTCCAAATGAACAAGATGAATATTGACGATGTTCGAAGCATTTCTTGGCCAGATTCAGTCGCCTACTGTGAGAAGTCGCTGATGCAGAGTCAGTAGTCAAAGAAGGAATTCTGATAACGATTACAATTAAAACGCAATAGATCCAAGCCGTTCGTTTGTTGACCTCATCAGCTCGTCCTCAGATCTCGCCTCGTTCCTCACCGTTTCTCTGCTTTTCGATTGTTTCCCTTCTCATCCGCTTGGAACACCATTCATTTCAGGTCCTTCCAAATCGCTCCTCTTTTTGAGTGTAGTCGTTTCTGTTGTGTATCCGAAGGATTGAGTTTCTTTCTGGTACGGCACCCGTTCCGTTTGTTTTTGAGTAACCGTGTCATTTGGTTATAAGTAGCCGTTCCAGTCCACTCTGCTGTTCCGGATCTAGGCAAGCCCAAGGATCGAAAGGCTCAGGACTAATGTCAGTCCGCAGTCGTAGCTAGATCGTGCCGTGGGTGCGATCCATCTGTTACATGCTCCAATCCATTCCGTTTCTTTTCGTTCCGTTTCTGTCCGTTCCGATCCACTTTTACGTGCTTCCGCAACACGCCCAAGGTTACGAACTCTGAAAGAAACGTGTCAATCGCCCCAGTTCGAGGCATGCTTCAATGAAGCTCGTCAACTTCATCTCCTCCATTTTGTGATCTACTCTGTTCCAATTCCATAGCAACAGAACTTCCTGTACCTGTGGCACTCCGCTCGAAAGCGTGGCGGAACTATGACTCTCGCGAAGATAAGGCGTGCTTGTATAAAACTCTTGAAACTTCGTTCAAGTTACTCTATTCTGATTCACCAGTTTGTTTCGTGCTAATCGTACATTTGTGGAAACTTGCAGCACGCCCGAGACCGTGGCAGCGCAGGAGCAATGTGAGTCGCGCGAGTTCGAGGCGTGCTTCTCGAAGGCGAGCCAAAAGTGCGCCGAGCACTCGCGGACACTCTGCGGCGACGTTTATGGGGGCGCGCGGATCGCCGGGAAAGATGACGTCATGCTGATCACGGCGTGGGAGGACGACGACGAGTCCAACGAGATCCGGCAACTGCAAACTGGCGAAAAGGTGATTAGCAGCTCTAAGGGTGCGCCGTGGATGCCGCCTGCCTTGGGGGAGTCTATAGAAACCCAGGTCCCGGATGAGAAGGACGCGGAGAGGCGGCGGAGTGGGAGAAAAGCTAGGAGCGCGTCACGTGGGGGGGTAGAAAGCGCCGCAAAAGAAGGGGGGCGGACGAACGATTCACAGTCGGGGGGGTTGTGGAACAGCGAAGAAGCCTCTGAAGGTGGGGGAGTGGGGCGGCCTCGGGATGCGTCGAAAGCGGCGTTGGAAAAGGATTTGAAGCAGGTGACCGGGACGGACGGGGTCGCTTATAGGGTTGTGAGAATAGGCGGGCGGACGGGGCCCGACGGGAAGCCGCTAAAGGCGCTCCAGAGCCTGAAAGACGGGTCGGTGAAGTTTATGGATGCGGACGGTCAGGTCAAGAAGCTTGCAGGTCGGGAAAAGAAAACCGGGAAGCGCGAGCAGGCAGGGGGAGAAAAGGGGGGGGTCGTTGCGAATCGGGGCTTGAAATCACGGTGACTAGCGGTAGACTGAGCGATGTGTACTCAACGTGAGAGAGGGCACAGCCTGGGGGTTACGGGAGCAATTTGGACAGTCGACAAAATATTGAGAGTCGCCTCGATGTACAGGTCCAAAGTCATTGGATTGAATTGCAGTATCTTGTAAGACCGGCCCTCAGATGTGAATGGTTGGCACAACTTTTCGCGGCAACGCTCATGATCCTCACATTGAGGAGCCCATTTTGACGGTCTATGCACGCAGTTAAGTGGTTGAGAGGCAATCATACCTAGCTAATGGGCCCTTCGATCAGCAAATTCTCGACCGGATCGTCGAAGCTGACTCACAGTCATTCATGCAATGAATGCCAAGCGAGGCACGGGTCTGCTCCTGGCACGTAATCAAATGGCAGATATTTAATCACGAACGCACAATACCCACTGGTGCAGACGAGATACAGAAACCGATGTGTTATTAAACTCGTATACTGAGCGCTGCGCACGTGCGGGATTACTCCATGCATCATTTATTTGGCGTCGAAGCGTGAAGCATTCGTTATACTGCAAAGCCGTCAAGGTTTGGGCCCGCGGGTCTCGACGATCGCGCGGTCCAACGTTGAGCCTATATTCTAAAACTTGATTGAAGCTGATTTAGCTACCGACTGAGAGTGATCGCTGTTAGTCAAGGCAAGCTATACGGCATGCATGTTTACCATTGACTAATATCAAACAATGACGGTTGCCCATGTACGTAAAATCGCGCTGCTGTATACGAGCGTCCTTTACTCCTTATCCGTGCATGAACAGTTTGGATTGGCCCGTTTAATGTACGTAAGGCGTACATCCTGGGTCAGTGTATGGCGCCGGAGTTGCACGCAGGCAGAACGTGCTGCTGGCAGCAAATTGCTACAGAATGATGAAACGTCACTGATGTAGACTGACCCTGTTGTTGATCCGCCGGCCACTTCAGTTCGAATCTTAGAACGTGGAAACCTTTGGGTGCGATGTAGCCGGAGACTCCATGCATAGTCGGGCATCAAATTGGACACGGACATCTTTATGACGAGCAGGCTTCATGTCAATGGTCTCGGAGTCGATGCGTATCTGGCCCACTGTCCAGCCCCATCCAGATGATGCACAAACCATGCAGTAAACCTGATTATCAGGCGACCATCTATTAGCGTGCAATAAATGGCAACAACCTGAAATTGTGTCGTCGTCTTATCAATGTTGCTCTAAAGCTGGCGGCGTATTATGGTTTACAGGATGCTGCGGCTGTAGTCGATGTTGACGTCATCAGTAGAGGCACTTTTAACAACTGCTGACGGCTTCCAGACTTTAAAGAGCAATTAATCATTTGGCTTCTGCGGTGCACACTTGTTGCGAAGTTGCTGTCATGTCTCTACAGGCCACTTTGATAGTTCTACGCCTTGACTATCCAATCTGTTCACTTGACAACGGGCACGAATTTTTTCAAGAAGATGGAGCTTGAAAAAGCAGAGGAGGAGAAGCTGCAACTCAGTTCGCTGTATGTGTCAAAAATGCTACCGGACACAACGAGCCGCCCTGGTTTTGAGAAGTGTCACTTTCTCAAAGAAGACTGATTACCACCCAGTTGTACACCGCACCGATCAGGGTACAGCACTCTTTCGTGGCTTGTCGGGCAGCCTCTGCATACGTCACCGTGACTTCTTCGGATCGAGGTAGCTGCTCATACCCCCTTCTCAGCTCAAAACCGACCCTGATCCTCGTTGTTTCCCTGTCGCCTAAGCTGTCAGACTCCAATTCCGCTTCGTTGCTAAATCTCGTCTTCTTTTCCGTCTCAACAAAGTAGTCCAGACCGGTGGATAAGGGCAACGGCTCGTTCTTTGACTCCTCTGCTGCATGACCTACTTTTTGCAGCACGTCACTGTCGTGCAGAACGAAGGAAATGCTCAGTTTATCCGCAGGAAGGCTGCTGGTTGCAAAGGACGGGGATGCGTCTAACTTGATGGCTCCATAGACGTGCGGCACACTGGGGTGATCAAAGGAGGCCTTTGAGTCCGTCCCTCCTGCCCTTGAAGCCAGCCGTTGTTTCTCACGCGGAGTTGCGTTGCTGCTCCCTTGTTCAAAGAGGTCTCCATGATCTCGAGCGGTGCCTATGGGAGGCAAGTCCTTTCTCGAGGCCTTGGGATCGATCAACTTCACGTCTCCGATTGCACTCTTCCTTCGGATGATGGCTCTGTCTTTGTCCTTCTTGGGAGAAGCTGCAAGAAGGAGGATATGGTCACTATCTTGGATTGCAGAACTCACCTGGTGATCCCTCTATATTAGACTTCTGACGTCAATTACGTTGCCTTTACGTTGCTTGTCTGGGATCCAACTATGCTCATCCCAGGGTGTCCTGGATGAATTGCAGGCTGGTTTCTTGGCTCTCCAAACTGAACAGGCATGGCGGCAGCCAAAATTGACCAAGTTCGTGCAGTATGCTTCAGTTCAGTGAGAAGTGCATTGAGACATGCCCTTGAATTCTGGCTGCACCACGGCAATCCTGATTTGCTTTAGCATGGCAGGCTGTCACAGGTCAAACGAACTGACACGTTGTGGGTAATTGACTCCTTGACTGTCCCTAGGCATCAAAAATCATGCGAAGGCCCGTTGCGCTTGCGCTGATAAAGAAAATGGGCCTTATACAGCCAAAGTGGATGACAAGGTTGAACAAGCCCCATACATAATAAGGAACTAGATTCAGCAAGCTGCGCATTAGGCGCACATTTAGCATGGAGCTTGAAGAACCCGTGCATGACTACTTTTCCTCCGAGGTTTGGCCAGCCAAACAACACACTGCAGCATTTATCTCCTGCCCCTCTTACCTCCTGTTGTGCCCAGCAATCCCCGCAATCCCTGACTCTGCTCCCTCCATGAACCGGGCTCTGAACGCCGTCTCTTTGCGTTCTTATCCATGTCCTCGTTCAAGTTACGTCAGAATGTGTTCTTTTCCCATGAGACCTCCGTATCCCTTCTGATTTCAACCATGAATGAAAATCTAAAGCTTGTGCAATTTAAACTTATTGAGCGGAGTACGTGGCGCGCGCATTCGTGCCCGTCCGGGCGGCCGCGAGCAGTCTAGCAGGGTTTTAAAGCGAAACCTTCCGACGTCACGCGCCGCCGCAACCGCGTCAGGTGAACAGAGATCCCCCGGTTCTTGCCCTCCGGGAGGTGCTCCAGTCGGGGGAACCCTTAAAAAGTTGCTTTCTGAAGCACTCCCCGCAAATCTTACCCACGTGAAGGCGTCGGTACGGACGGTAGAAATGGGTATGGTTGTCGGAAGCGCCCGTGCAGTCTGTTTGGTCCAAACGGCGGCACCCGTTGCTTCACACGGCAGGCTTGGTAAAGCGACCACTCAGAGGATGAGACAGTAACCGCGGTCGCTGCGAAGGCGACCCCGCGTTACCGCAGATGGCTTTTGATTCTCCCGAGTGAAAGCAGGTCAAACCCTGCACTGTGTAGCCGGCGCGCAATTAGGTACACATGTGGGACAGTCTCTGCTTGTTTGACCATTGTACGTGAGTCTTGGCATTTCATTGCCTTGGCGAAGACCTCGAAAAAGGTCAAAGTCGCGCCTGCTTTGGATCGTGACTTGCAATCCTTAGGCTTCAGCCTTCAACCTTCAGGCACCTTCATTGAGGTCCTGGATAAGGATCAAGAAGATTGATTTTAGCAATGTAACAGTAGAGCTTCTCCGCCCAAGCGGCAGGTTCCAGGAACTTGTGGTTGATTATGAAGGTAACTTAGCAATGATGTGAAGCAAGGCAGAGGAAGGAGTATTGTAAAGGACGGGTCCTTGAAGTGCTTTGGGAGTAGATTGCCAGTCGAGGGAAAAGGAAGAGGAAGTCCAACGCATCACTTGCCTTCAATTCAAGGTAACCTCATCCCTGCACTACCACCTTTGTGAGCTCCAAGCTTACATAGATTAGGAGTCATCATGGGTCAGCAGTTGCACATCTTAACGGCACATTCAAACCTTGAGGCCATTTGCTTGACAACCGATCTCTTGCTGCAGGCTATATAATGCTGTATGGCCTTTTGAAAGTAAAAATGGGACCCTATTTCACATATGCTATGGCTAGCTGCAATCTTGTAAGTGACAGAATGAGGATTCCCTTGCGTCTTGGTTATGGTGCACATGAGGATGAACCTGCACAGCAGAAGTAGCATTTTTTTGTACTGTGCTCTGGTCAGAAGGTGGAATCTGCCTTGAGCTGATCATAATATTCACAAGTGATGCATTGCAGTGCTATTCTTGTCATCTCAACGAGCAACAAGTTGTTGCACAGATTCAAGCTTCTTGTTCTTGTTGCTTCTCTGCAGGCTATCCCAAACTGCAAAGAACTAACGAACAAAATCTCAAGCAGCTCAAATGTGACCCGCTCTATCAGCTGAAAGAACACAGACTTTGTGCAGACGGTCAACTCGTCAGAACTCTCACAAAAAGAATCTTTTGAGTAGAAGAAGAACCTTCTGAACAAGAGGGTAAGAGGAACGTAATTCCGCATCCGCTGAGTGAAGTGGATTTTGTTCACAACAATTGCTACTGGTAGACTACCTGCCTTGACTGAAGTTGTTTGCCCAAAGGATTTTGCACTTGCTGAAGCATTCAGCTTCTTGTGAAAGAGAACACGAGCCAAGCAGATACGTGCGCATACAAGCAGACGAAATAGTAGCGGATAAGCAGACGGTGTCACGATGGGGGATGCGCCGTTCACGGCGGCATTAGCTGCTGGTGCAAAGTATGCGGCCCCAGCAGAGAATGCCACGAGTGCGCCTGTGCCCCAAGCCATGTCAACCAGCACCAGTGGGAATAAGCACCTGCCAAAGGCCCCTATGCTCTATGCCTGGATCACAACTATGGCGCAGCTAGCAATGCCAGAGCCTGGCTATGGCAATGACAGCAGGTTCGATGCTAACCAGAAGCAAGGATGGGGTTTCTCTGAGGCTCCGAGTGGGGCCTCAGACTCCCCAGCCAGCATTCCAACTGTCTTCCCCGCCAACGGCACTTCGCAAGCCCCCCTCGTAATGCACACCTCCCAGCCTCCATCAGATGACCCCTACCATAATGCACGCCCTGCTCAAGCTAATGGACAGTATCCCGGCGACCCCCCCGGCTATGTCCCCTCCCCCTCTGGAGACCCTGCTAACCTCAAGGTAGACCCCACCCCATGGAGCCCCCCCCACCCCCCACCCCCCGTCGCCATCCCGCAGCTCCCTGCTCTCATTCCGCTGAAGCTGGTCAGCCTCCTCTCCCTCGAGATTGAGTGCCACATCAGCACGGCATTTGTGACAATGGAAGCGAGCTGGCAGCTAGGGTGTGCTGCCAAGGGAACGAAGGTCGACTGCCTATTCGCACTGCCTGTGAGTCACCAGGGGACGGTGACGGCGGTAGAGATTGATATGGGGGGCGGGAGAATGTACGCCACTCTAGTTGTGCCGAAGGACGAGGCAGCAGGGTACGGCGCGCAGGGCAGCAAGGACGCGATCCCGCAGGACAGCGCAAAGTATAACCCTCAGCTATTCAGGCTTACGATTCCTCAGGTGAGCTCTCCAGCTGCAAAGAGGGATCCCCCTATTCTATACTGGTTCTAAGACTAAACAAGAAGCAAATGTGGAGCGGACCAGGTAGTATTGGTATCTTTTGTCTTGGATTACCTTTTGACATGCTCAGCAGCTCCTCCGCTAGTTTTCTGAACATGAAGGGCAGCCATCTGAAATCCCCTTGCGCGAGCATTATGGAGTTGTCGTGGCCTTGAGAAATTCCCCTCCTTGACTGTCAAGATTGGAAGATTGAATGTTGGGAGCTTTTCCCCTAACTCCATGGTCTCTCAATTCCCTTCATTGGGACATAACGGTGAGACCTTATGACCTTATTTCACTCTCAGAATTTGCTGCCCTTCTTGAGCTCAAACTTGGAGGAAAGAGAATGTTGGGGTTGTGTCAGCACCTGCCTCATTGCTTCTAGAATGCTGTATCAGACACGAGAAAAGCATAATTCTCTGGATGGTACTTCATTTATCCAATCATGAATGTCAGCAGGCCACATTCTCTCTGCGTATGCCAGGGGGAATGCTGTCAGTCTCTGAACCCAGAGTGTCTATTCCTTCAAACCCCTTTTCTTCCTCACCTTACCTTGTCACAATCTGGCCTGAAGAAGACACCTTACAAGCTCCTCTGCTGCTGTATCCTACTCTGACATTGTTAATGTCCTTTACCCCCTCTCAGGTGGATGCGGGGTCAACCCTCCAGCTCAAAGTCACCTGGTTCCAGCCCATGCTCTTTAACCAAGGCAAGTACGGCGTGCGGATACCTTTACAGCTCCCCCCCTGGGTTCTTCCAAGGGGATCCCCCTTGAACCAGGCCCTGAGCGTGCGCTGCCTGATCAACACTGGGAGCAACCAACCAGTCGGTCTTGGGGAGTTCAGCCACCCCATGAAGCAGACCCATGTGGCACCCGGGCAGATCGCTCTGGTCACGGACGCCTTCAAGGAGTGGCCCGACAGCGACTTTGTGGCGTCCTATCAGGTGAATATTCTGCTTTGTTGATTTGGTTGAGATTAAGAGGTTTCTTTGTATTCTGCACCATGGTATTGGGTTGCTTCTTGGTTGGCTGACTCGAAGGCTGGCTGGATAGTGGACGGAAGATCGTCAGTGGTTACTTTGGACGTCAACCTTCGGTGTATCCTTATTTAAGATCAAGTGAGCTCATGATCGGGCCTTTTATGAGCATACTGTGGTTCCGACTTTGACGCTGATGTTCAACTATGCGATCAACATTACCTGTTTTCAGATTCACAAGTTGAGAACTGCTCAAAGGCTTTTCTTCCACAAATTGAATGAGGACTCTTAGCTCAAGAGTGGAAGTTGCACGAAGGGTCTGAATCCGTTCCGCTGCACAGCTGTCCCCCTCAAGGACTTGCTCAATTAACCTGCTCCATTGTACTGTTGCAAGTCCATTCAATCTGCAAGTTCTTGATGTTTGTTTCAAAGACAATCCTAGATGATACTGAAATGGATAGACAGTGTTGCTTCCATAGCTTCTTTGAAGACACACCATCTTCTTGTCGCCACTCATTGCTACCCCTGCTTGCTTAGCTCTCAACAATACAAGGGGGCAAGTTAAAACGCACTAGTCAGAACATCTCAACCAAGAGTCACAAGCTGCTGATGGAGCAAACCAGATAGCATTGGCTTCAGAAGAGATGACATCGTGAAATTTGCACTGGATCTCAAAACATATGCATTTTTGTTTGCAGGTCTGGTCCCAAGAGATCCTGGCGTCCCTGATCGTCCAGTATCCCCAAAAGGAGCCCGAGAAGGGCAAGACCTTGGCCGATCCCAGGGGGACATTTTGCCTGTCTGTCTCGCCCCCCGACCCGGAGCACGTGCAGAGCTTCAATCGGGCGGTCGTCTTTCTGCTTGACAGGTCAGTCCTCACAAACAAAGCATCCCCTTGGTATAACAGGAGACTATTGTCACTGATTTTACCCTTAGGAACAAGGAGACGATGGAAATCAAATTTGAACAGAAAGCACACGAATGGACAGCCAATGCCAGACTCATCAGCGGGTCCATGTAAGCACAAATTACTCGTACTCTGTCGCGGGACTCTTTTGGGTGTACAAGAAAGATCGTAGACGAGCAACCCTTCTGGACTCTACATCAGTCACCCACATATGTCATCTGCGCAGCAAGTTCCTTCTGACGTAGTCATGAGGTGTCTTCTCGAGAATCTACTTGAAGGTTCTACAGAGAAAACGGGCACCGATTGTGGACGCCCAACAGGCTCTTATTGCCGCCACTGCACTCTTAAAAGTTCTGCAAATGCCCAAACTCTTAACCACCCACTCAAGATTCATAACCGGCCCCCTGCAGGAGTGGGAGCATGGACGGGCAACCAATGCTAGACGCTTAACAAGCAATCGTCCAGGGCTCCACAGGCGACTTCTTTTCTGACAAGCCAGCAAGTCCTCGAGTTGTTGAATGCTCAAAGCGCATAACCACCCACTCAGGACTCATAAGTGGCCCCCCTGCAGGAGTGGGAGCATGGACGGGCAACCAATGCTCGACGCCCAACAGGCCATCATCCAGGCTGCCCCTATAGGCAACATCCAATCACAAAAGCTGACGGAATGACCATAAGCTATCTCCTGATTCCTCCCATAACCGGCCCCCCTGCAGGAGTGGGAGCATGGACGGGCAACCAATGCTCGACGCCCAACAGGCCATCGTCCAAGGTTTGCAGCTGCTGCGCCCCGAGGATCGGTTCACCATCATCGGATTTGACCACGAACAAGTCTCCTTCTCGCCGAGCCTGCAGCCCGCGACGCTCGAGGCCGTCATGGCCGCGAGCGCGTGGGTGCAGGAAGTGTGCAAGGCGCGGGGGCTGACCGACATCCTGACGCCGCTGAACGGGGTGGGTTGTGCGGCAGTCTTACTTATGTTGCTCTTGATTGCCGTTCGGTTGATGGCCGTCGTAGTCGTCCTGGAAAATTGATGAGAACGTTCTGTGCGAAGCCGCTAGCTTCGCGGCAAGAGCGGCATCCTGACGCCGCTGACAGGGGTGGGCGGTGATTCAAACTCGCTGTTGATTGTGTTCTTGCACTCGTTTCGCTATAGGCGGTCGTACCCGATTGGACTTCAGAATGGTGGTAGTGGTATTTCGTAACCGTCCGTTCTGGCTCTGTGCCCATATTTCCACACCGATTTTGATAACCTTAAGAAAACCAGCCGCTAAGGAGACGCCGTTCTGGACGCAATCTCGCATTCTGGAAGAGGTTCCTTGAAATGTACCTTTGGTCCATAGATTATCGTCGCCTCTCTTTATTTTCCCTGCCTGGAGCGGTTGTCTGTGATGTCCGTGGAGCGTTTCTAATGCTGCCGAAACGTTCTATCTACGGAAGCGTAATACAGGCCACATGCCCTGAAAACTCGAGAGAGCCGCAGTCCCATTTCGCAGAAGGACTTCCAGGTCAAACTAAGCGCCGTTTCAAACTTGTCCCGTTCTTATGGAAATCACCTTCAAGGATTACAACCCTGGAATCAAAACCTCTGAAGAGCTATGGTAGCCACTGGCTCCTCTCTCTATGGAGGGGTATCCTGCCTCACATAAGCATACCGTTCCTTGCATAAAATTCGATCCTCTTTCTCCCTCGAGGCGATGCAGCTGCTCAGCACCATTCCGGACAAGGTAAACGGCGGACCAAAAGGAAATTGTGAAGGAAGAATTCGTACCCATGGTTGCTTCCAGGGTTTGCTTCCGGTTCCGTCCCGTCCGCTCAGGCGATGCAGCCGCTGAGCATGGTTCCGGCGCGTTCCCGTACGTGCTCCTGACGCCGGTTTGATTCGAAGATTGTATATGAGGGTTCTATGAGAGCCTGACAAACGATAGCTTCTCAAACTTTGACACTCTGCTTCGTTCCCTCAGGCGATGCAGCTGCTGAGCACGGTTTCGGACGCGGTCCCGTACGTGTTCCTGATCACGGACGGCGCTGTGGACAACGAGCGCGAGATCTGCAAGAGCATGCAGGCGCACATAGCGGCGGCGGGCTCGCGCGCTCCGCGCATCTCGACTTTCGGCATCGGGACGTTTTGCAACTACTTCTTCCTCAAGATGCTGGCGAGCATTGGGAGGGGCCTGAACGACGCTGTTTTCGATACAGGTATGATCGAAGCAATAATCAAGATCTGCTTGTGATCAGAACCGACGAGCGAGCGGATTCGAAAGTATTCTGTTTGCCGCGGGTCTCGACATTCGGCATTGAGCTGTCTTGCAACTCCTCCTTCCTCAAGTTGCTCTACGAGCATCGGAAGGGTCCTGAACGTCGCCGTTTTCAACACAGGTATGCGTGAAGCATCGCTTGGCTTCTTCTGGTGGTCGAATTAGATAGTTGAACGAGTCCAAAGCTGTCCCTGTTTGCACTTGTTTGCGTGTTCCAGACGCTTGCATTTTTGAGTTCCTGCTAGCCTCGACAAGGCCAGAACTACCCTGCTTCATCCAGTACGACGAGACCTTAGAGGGCTTGTACTCGCACTCACGACTCTTGTAGAAGCCCTTTCAGACTTTCGTATAGGTATTTGCTTGTGATCAAAATCAAGGCGCCCGATGTAGCGCAAGGCTTTGCAGCTCCCTCGATCAGCAGTGCTCTTGTCCGTATCTTTGATTGTTACTGATGCGAAGGGGCAAAGGCTTTGCTAATTCCACCTTTTTCCACGGGCTAACCGAAGGATCTTCTCCTTGCTACCGCCTAGAAGGCACCCTGTGCAAAGCGCAGAACAAGCGCCTGCTGGTTGCTGCAAGCGCACACATATGCCACCCCCTGGCACCAGCCACAAAGCTTTTTCCTAGAATCCTAAATCTGCTAACATTCGCCCCACGTTTTCGGCAGACCCTCTTAAGGAGCGGATCGACGGATGCTGGTCGCCGCGAGTGCTCCAGTGCTAACCAATCTGGCATTTTCTGTTTGTTCCTCGAAACCCGCGATCAATCTTCAGAACCAAAGAGCGCCGGCGTCCGTAATCTGCAGACCTCCTGAAGCAGCAGATGGGAGAAGTGTGTTCGCTGCGAGCGCGCCCACGCTAACCAGTGCGGCGTTGCGACACTCGAGCGGAAACCGACTCGGGTTCTGAAAATTTTGAAACCCTGACATCCCCGCTAGCCTTTGTTTGCAGAGGAGCAGATGGAACGCATGCTGACCAATCTGGAGCTACACACCAAGGCCCTTCTATAAACCCAAATGCTTATAACCCTTAATACAAAAGAAAAAGCCGCCTAAAACTCTGGCAATGCTTTTCTGCAGACCTCCTGAAGGAGCAGATGGAGCGCATGCTGGTCGCGGCGAGCGCCCCCGTGCTGACCAATCTGACGCTGCGCATCGAGGGCCTCCCCGAGTTCGAGGCGTACCCGGACCCCATCCCCGACCTGTTTTGCGGTAACCCGCTCGTCGTGTCGGGCAAGTTCTCGGGGGAGTTCCCGGGCGTCCTCACGCTCAACGGGACGCTGCCGACGGGACAGGTGTACCAAACAACGGTGAGTCTCCGGGTGTTCTTTTTGGCGGCAACTTCTGACCAGTTCGTGTGTCGTGACGAATACAATACCGTGCTATGTTTGTAATCTGTGACGAGGTTCCCCTCTTTTCTAGCAGGATCCGTCCCCCTGACTCTGAGTGCGGCTTCCCGCCCCTCCTGGGCGGCTGCCCAGTCCGGCTCCCGTACCCTGCTGAGCAGGGTATTGCTATAAGTTAAATGCTCCGAATTGTTCCTCTCTCCCTTCCGAACGCCAGCAGGATCGGTCCCCCAGAACTTCATCCTTGTGCAATGCCCCCTCCCTCGAGGTGGTTGCACAAACCTCCCCCCCAAATTCCGTCGAGCAGAACCGTACAAGACCGTACAAGTCTCCTCCTATTCTCCGTATCCTTTTCCGCCCCCCTGAAACTCACTGTCGTGACACCCCCACCCCCTCTCCAGGTGGCTGCGCAGTGCGCCCCCCAGATCCTGCGGAGCAAGGTGTTCGTGCATGATATCGCAACTCTCCTATGTTTAACTTTTCCACCCCAACCACATGTCAGGAGGATCCCTCCTATAGTGTACCTTTTTCACCCCCATTAAAATGTCGGCAGAATCTACCCTCCCGGATTTTCACCCCGTCTCTCCCCCCCTTCCAGGTGGCTGCGCAGTCCGCCCCCCAGATCCCGCTAAGGAAGGTGTTCGTGATACGGCGACACTCCTATATGTCACTTTTCCACCCCCCGTAATATGCTAGCAGGATCCGCCCCCCAAAGTTTAATGCCCGTGCCCCCCCCCTCCAGGTGGCTGCGCAGTCCGCCCCCCAGATCCCGCTGAGCAAGGTGTTCGTGAACGATACATCAACCCTCCACTTTTCACCCCCCTCCAACAAGCTAGCAGGATCCGTCCCCCCAATTCTGAATCCCGTTTTCCCCCCCTCCAGGTGGCTGCGCAGTCCGCCCCCCAGATCCCGCTGAGCAAGGTGTTCGTCAAGCAGCAGCTGGACCTGCTGACGGCGCGCGCGTGGCTGGCGCGCGACGACCGCCTGAAGCAGCGCGTCGTGGACCTGAGCGTCGCGGAGGGAGTGCCCTCGGAGCACACGGCGATGGTCGGCTTCGAGACGACGCCCGAGAAGTACGACAAGCTCAAGGCGGACCGCCAAACCGTGAGCACAGATTCAGGGATTTTGAGATTTTGGGGTTTTGCAAGTTCAAGTCGAAGGACCGTATCATTATCGCGCAGTTGCTCCTGCTCTTCTTTGTCGGTCCGTAACTTCAAGGTCGAAAAACAGTCGAGGAGCATGCGGTGGTTTGAGTACGACAAGCTCAAGGCGGACCGCCAGAATGTGAGCACGTATAGGGTTTCCGGGGTTTCAGGTTTCTGATACGTTAGCGCTTTTGCTCCTGCTCTTCTGAATTGGTCCGTCAACTTCAGCGTAAAGATTTCTAGAGAAGCATGTGGTAAGGACGACAAGCTCAAGGCGGACCGTCAAAGCGTGAGCGGGCGCACCTTTGCTTCTGTTCCTGTCGATTGAGGGCTCTATCTGCAACCTTGATAAACCGAAAACATGGGATGCGAAGGACCCTAAATCCTTCTAATGAAAGCATAAACCAGGGAACGGTTCCTTTGCTTCTGGTTCCCCAAGTAAGCGGATGAGTCATCTTCCCGTGATATGATGACCAAAGCCGTTACATCTCAGAACAAGCAGATCAAAAGACGCCCAGCTATCCAGATGTATGTCAGATCGCACTTGTCAGATCGCACTCGCGTCCTTTTGAAGCTTTCGGAACAAGCGCGATAACCTAGCGCGATAACCTAGGACAGCGTGATCACTACTGAAACCTCTTTCGCAAGTGGCTGTCACGATTATGGGCGACAAGACCATTCTGAAAGGGTAAGCGCTTTTCAACTCTCAGGGCAAAATAAGCAACCGGAGCAATTGATTGCTTGTCAATCTTCGAGGCCAAAAGACCACTGAAAAACTGATTGCTTGTCGATTTGCAGGGCAAAAAAACCAACCTGAAAAAGTATGCGGTGACCAAGTACGCCGCGATCGCGGTCGTCGGCGGGCTCGCGGTCGGCTTCGGCAGCGTCGCCGCGACCATGGGCAACCTTCCGCTCGGGGACCTGGGCGGAATTGGCGGCGACTTCGGCGGAATGTGCGGCAACATCTTCTGCTGCGACTGCGGCGACCTTTGCGGCTCGTGCGGGGACTTCTTCGAGGGCATTGGCGGCTTCTGCTGCGGATTTGTTGAGGGCGCAGGGGACACGTGTTCCTCGTGCTTTGACTGCATAGGAGACGGGTGTGAAGGAATTGGGGACCTGTTCGTGTGCCTGTGTTCGTGTGTTGGAGACGTACTGAGCTCGTGCTAGGAAGCGGTGAATGGTGGCGAATGGAAAGGTTAGGGGAGAACGGGTTAACGAGTTACATGTGTAGCAATGTAAGCTTATAAGCGTTGCAGACGACTTGGTTGTTGTGTGAGAGAGGAGTCGAGTTGGGGGTCTTAGCAATAGAGTTTGGGTCGGGGTCTTGTGACGAGGACGTAAGTATAACGATATGGCAAAGGAGCCTGCACGAGGCTCGATGTGTGATAGTTTTGGATGGCCCTTGGTCATCGCCAGAACAGTTTGTACATGGAGACACAAAGAGCATTTTTTGATTTTTTGGATAGTTGCAGCTTCTATATAACTCTACTTTACCCATATCTTGCTAATTGTAGTAAACAAAAACAGAGAACCTTAGTTCCGCAATGTAACTTCTGACCAGAAAGTAAGTTTTTCTAAGTACTCCCTTGACCCTAAGCGCACTGCACTACATGCTGAGTATGCCACTCATGCTCGTGCATACCGTATACTCATCTCCTGCATAAATTCATCTCATAACCAGGCCTATAAGTAGGGACTAATATACTGGATTGTCGGCATGTATTGGCGGGCCAACGTGCACACGCGTGATGAGCCTGCACTACATGCATGATCGACGTACTCTTCGAGCAGAACATGTGCATGTGATCCTATAGACTCTAAACGTCAGAGTCACGACTTACGAGTGACTTATGAATGCATGATTGATGTGATTGAGCTACGGCCAGTGCCACCGAATCGATCATCGCATGTACATGTATAGTTATGGATCGCGGCATACGTGTATATTGGCTTGCCTCTTCCTCTTAGGAAGAGAGTAACCATAGGAATAGCGATTTCGGCCGCTCGCGGCGCGGGGCCCGCAAAATGACCTGCTTGAGGTGCTTGGGTTGGCTTGGCTCGACGATAAAACGTACGGTACAAGCCGATTTTTTGTCCGCATAACGGTGCGACATTTGTTGGACTGGGG